GGCCGTTTGAATTCGCGCCGCCACGTGCTCCCGATAAGATTATTTGGCTAGGTGATCCTCTAATTGTCGCGTTTAAACAAATTCGGGAATCGTGTTCTCGAATCGACGGGACGAATCGAACGTCAGAATGGAAAGTCGCGTGATTACCACGACGATATTGTTATAGACGGCTCGAGTTGCGAAACGTTTGGCTACCTCGTCGGTGTAGCTGGTTGTTTGCGCAGATGCCGTTGTTTGCACGCGAAGCGTTTTATTTCGAGTAGTAGAATTATCGAGCGTATCGGTACGTTGTCGGAGGTAGACGCGTTCGGGATTGATTCATGCTACCTGGCGATCGGGCCGGAATTGTTCTATTCACAAAAATGCTCGCGAAAGAGCTTGATACTAAAGATTATGACAGAAATAGATGCACGATGATAACATTGATGATAACGGAAGAAGAAAGAACCGCATACAAAAAAAGTGAACACAACTATCGCGATGATTTATGAGGAAAGGAGTAACTCGCGTAGAAAGAGTACCGCGTAAATCGAGGGATGGGTGTATTTACATGTCGAATTCAGTGACGCGTGATTCCTATCTCGTTCGCGGTGGCATTCAGCGGCGGATTAAAATTATATAAGAGCCGATCCCATTTCGCCTACCCCCACCATCGTCGGCGACATTCCCCGGGTGAAGGACCCAGGGAATGAAAATTGGAATAGCGTTTTACGAGCTAGAGACGAGCGTGACTCCGTTTCGGTCGAGATTAAACGGATAAATTGATAAACTGCCGCGAGGATGTGAAATTCTTCGTGCTTTAGCCCAATTGTGGTGCTTCCTAGAGTGGAGGAACGAGATTCCGTATCTTCTAGCACACACCGTGGCCAAATTGTATCCGATAACTGTTACAAAGGTCAGCAGTATTTGCGTGCAGGTATCGCAACGACAATCGCATATCCGTGTTGTCCCCTTAACGTCTTTGGAACCCACTGCACAGTTATTTTTTTCTGTTCCCCTCATTTTTACGAATTATATGCTATTTTACCTAACAAGCCTTTCTCTCGCACCGGAAGTGGTTGGTTTGTTACGAGGTGTAGTAACTCCTCCGTGGAATCCGACGGTGACTTGGTTCACTAATTGCGGGGCAGACTTCGAACGTAACACGGGACTTTTATTTTCTTCCTCTTAACGATCCTTTATTCTCTCTTTTCTTTTTTCTCTTTTTTTTTTTGCAACGTCCCCAATTATCCAAGAAAACACAATTCCCTTCGGAAAATTATGCGAAAGTAGGCTCGCTCGCTCGCTCCATTCATCCAAGTTTCATCATTTTAGAGTTTTTATGAGTACTCGCACCCTCTTTGAATGTAGTACATAGTAACGGTATTAATAAGTAGTCCGTGCAGGAACTGCACCATTCGAACTATTTTGATAATTAGATTCGAGTTTCCAAGCACGCAAATCAAATCGATAACATTCATCGAGAAGAAGATTCATTCGTAACTACTTCGTATAAATTAATCATTCCTGAACGACGAATAAAACTTTATTCTCGCAATTAACGAATAAATTTCGACGCGGTGCCCCTCCAACGTTTACAATTTCGCAGCGAAGTATCTCCAATCGATCCACCGTCGTTCCCAAAAAACGTTGTGCAACGCTCTCTTCCTATCGGTGGCGTTCGCGAGAAAACGTTAACGTCAAGAAAATTGTGAGGCAACACGATAAACGCCACGTGCAAAGAGAAATAACCTCGCTGTCTGTTCGTGTCGTGCGAGGAAGTTAGGTTTGCCGTGCATCGGCAAAAAACGTGAAATAATCTAGCCAGCCTGTTCGGTAACGTTTTCCATGAAAACGTTCGTGTAGAGTTATTCAATGACGTAAGTCGGAAAGACGTCGCTGGATAAGCGAGATCGAGGGTTAACGCGTTTGATCCTCGCTTCTTTCTTTTTTTTTTTCTTCGCTGTTTGTTACGTAGCGTTTCTTGCCACGGGAATACATAAATACATAAATTAATAGCATTAACCTTGATCGAGGAAATTCGATTTCGTACCGATAGGTGCATCAACCGGTTAATGACACAATAAATATCGAGCATACACGAATACAGGAAATTAATATCCGCGTCGTGACGCTAGACATATTTACGTCGTGGTTTGTTTGAAATTCATCGGGAATGACAGCGAGGAGCTCATTTCGAAATGCCTTAAATCCAACAAATACGAAGCTGAGTAAACTGAGATAATTACTCGAAACAAAGGGTTATTCAAGAAAGGGCTTCTGGATTTTTTTGTTTATCGTGGTATATCCTTTTTATCTTGTTTGGAGAAAATATATCTCACGGTAGCCGTAAAATAACGTTGACAATAAAATCCTAATCCCGATTCTAATTTTACCCAATTCTCCGGTGACAGAGCGAACACGCGTTCGATCTCTCGTGCATGCACTCGTGCTGGTTCGCATGCTAGAGGGCTCGGCGCTTTTTCCGCGAGTTCGAATGACGCTTCGCCGTGTTAGGCACGCCGGATGCACTCTTGCACGTGCAGATTACCGGTCGAGGGAACGATAATGCGAATATAATGACGACGTTGCCACGGATAAACAGTTTTCCTTCTTGGTTCCAATCGTTTTCACGCGTCGAGCGCACGCTACGAGCTCGCTTATTGACCAAATTATTATCTGGGTAAAAATTGGGAATGACGAATCAAATTCAATTCGATAGGAGGCTTCCGAATAAGACATTAGTTTCCAGTCTTAGTTTCAAGCTCTTGAATTCTTGAATCAAAGAGCTCGACAGATAGGCGTGTTTTTTTAATTGAGAAGTCGAATGTCGGATTGCCTTGTTCGCTCACTATCAGTCTGGCCCTCGATTGATGAGCGTTCGACTAATTTAATCGCCGATAAACCGACAGTTGTACTCGATAACGGGAAAAGAGCTGGCTAATCGCGGGATTACGTGGAAACTGATGCGCTGTCTCGATAGAAGTCTAAAGAATTCTAATTTCACATCATACGCATCTATTCTCATTAATTCCATAGGATATCTAGCTAATTTATAAATTCCATCAATTTCAAAAGAAAGAAAGTCTGAAGTCTGAACATCGGTCGACAGTCATTTAATGAAAAAATCAACAAACAAGGAACCTTCCCATGCTCCTTGTACGTCACCACAGCATCGTTACCGTGATGGTGGTTCTGCTCTTGATCAAGAGCCGTATCCCTTCATCAATCCTTCAACCGTTAACACGTGATTTCTGCGCTGAATACTCCCTGGACAAAAAAGGCGACGAACACGCTTCCTAGATGCCAGGTTTTCAAAGTAAATCGCGCACGAGGAGAGATCCATCGGAAAGAGATCGGGCGCTTCCCTAACGATCATTGGCGAGTATCCATCACGTGTAACAGTATCGCTGGTTTTTCACCGCGCGCGTTTCCTGGAAGAAAAGAATCACGCGATTTTTCCGACAGATCTCGTTTTCCGTTGAGCAGGGTTTGCTCGTAGCCCCGCGGACACCTGTTATTACGATATTTAATGGTAATCAATTAACTCGTTTCCCAACCATTTAACATAGCAATTAGAATTGGCAATCTGCACGCTCCAGTTCCCGACGAAACTGTGTAGCGAAACCCTGAGATTTCAAAGTGGACCAACGTATCGAGAGGTTCGGGCCGTTTTCCCCACTTTGTTGCGAACCGCGCCTCCACGCAGGAATTCGCGACTCGAGCGTAATTCTCGCGGGTTCTCGTTATTGCCAATAACGCGGTCTATTTTTTATTTCCATACGCGGCTCGAATCGAATCATGCCTGGCAATTATTTAAACGACATCCTGCCCGCGATCCCGTTTACGGCATTGCTCTGAGCGCGAGCGGGACTGGATCTTCGGGATTTAAAGTTTAGAAAAAACATAACTCGATCGGGCGAACGGATTTCGAAAAATAGTTTAAACGAATGTTGTACGTCTCGATAAGATATGAAGTTATTGTTCAACGCATATTTTCGAGAAACGGATCATTTTCGTGGCAATCTCTTTTTGGAATTTATTTTGAAGCGCGAAGAAGAATTTATTGAATCGATTGTTTCGAAACGCGTTGATAATAGCGTGAATTTGGTACGAAACAGCGAGTAACTTACTGGCGCACCCGAGTAAATCCCAAATGCACTCCATGCTGACGCAATCCGAAGGCAGCGTGTCCTAGGGCACGTTCCTCGCTCAGGAGGAATCCCATTCGCGGGCTGAGTAATTACGAGGAAGTAATCACTGACACCGCAATTAAGTTGGCGCGATTCAAGGGAAAGTGCGAATCTCTCGAGTCTTTCAAAATTTCGCGCTTTCACCCGTTGGAAGCGATGGGCAACATTTTATCGAAGTAACGGGTGACAAATGAGAATAAGGTGCGCAGCGATTTATCGGCGACATTTAATAGATCGTACAACCGTCGCCTCTGGCACGAAAGGATTAAGTAATTTGTATTCGAGTGATCTATTTATTACAGATTAGTAGTAATATTCGAATACTTTATGAGCTGATCGAGTATTTATATATTCTTACATATATTTGAATAGCGGAATGAGGACTGTAAATCGAACTTCTTTAAGTTCATCGTAGCTCTTTTTGTACTTTATTCTCGTTCAAGATATTTTATATGCCACACGTAACAACGAGGTTCGGTATAATATCGACGATTACCGTGCCACTGAAAATAAATAGAAAACCACTTACTCGGATAAATCTAATAATACTCGTGCAAACAAATCGTAAGATTGTCTCGTAACGTTCTTACTTCTTAGACACAAGATCACCTCAAATAAAGGATTTTTCAAGAGAGGCTTCGGTCGATACTTTTTTAATAAGAAATAAAATCTTGAAGCCTCCCCCCTTAAAAAACGTAACAAATAGACCCAGATCAGTTTTGAACGGCACAAGGTTGCACTGAATGGGTAACTTTATAATGGAAGCTGAAACTGAAATTTTTGGGGTGTGACATTCGATCTCACACGGATACGTTCATCCTGTTGCAGACGATGAGCTTGACCAAACGTATAGACGAGGTCAGGTTGCTCGAGTCACGTAAGAGCGCTCGGCTGGCTGATCAGGATACCGATTTCGCTAGGCTCGCCGATATGGCTGGTGACCGCAAACGGGCCTCTTCCCACTCCATCGACGTGCCACACGTGATCGGGTAAGTCTCTTCACTTCTTCGTATAACACTTTTTTCCACGCGTGCATTGCACTTTACGTCAGTCCGTATCGTTAAGTAACGATTACGTATTTCTAGATAATATTTTAAAGTCAATGGTATCTTTTCCGATGTGCTTTACAAAACAATAGAGAGTTTGTCATTTAGGAATTTTAAACAGGATATTCTTTATTTTTCATTATTTTTTTTATAGAGAGCTAGGGTCTAAATTTTCGATCTTTCTTGGACCAGCAAACTGTATTTTATTCGCTTCCTTTTTCTAACCGAGTTCGACCTCAGAAATCGATACCTAAACTATCGTCGTAGGTATCATATCATCCTCGACGATCCATCCCGAAAAGTTCCCTCAAATCCTGCATGCAGTTACCATTCTTACACCCTCGACAAACGTTCGGAAGACCATCTAGCTGCGTTGAGTTGCTGGACGAATGCCGTGAGTATTCTTGAAGAGAACATCCCACTTGGATCATCAGTTTTTACCGTCCGGTCAAAATGTTCCATTTTTCCAATAATTATCGCGTTACGAAATCAGAGCATTCTATCAGAGGGGCCGACGTTCGATAAATTCGTTTTAAATTCAACCAGTGGGTTCCACTGCGTGCACGAGGACCTCCTTAAAACTATCTCGTAAAAGTGATATACGCCATCCTAGCCGTGCACAATTTCGCCATCCCTTCGAAAAATTCTTTTTACGCTTGGACCCCTTCCGTGATAGATTTAGCGTCATGTAAATTATTTTTCAGGTACTTACGTATTCGTGATTTCATCAATTTAAAGTTAAAGAATTCGATTCGAAGTGGATATGTGAAAATCCGACTGATGTTTATTTTTCAATTTCTAATCGTACAAAGGCTAGAAAATCGGTGTCCCTCGTAGTTTGTAAAGGCAGCATCCACACGTTGCATCGAGAGTTTGAGAGGCGTCCGGTTGCTGTCGATCGTTAGACCATGAATGCACCCTCGCCGAACACCTGTCCTTCGCCCTCACGCAGACTCCCCATGCTTTTTCTCTCACCCTTGTTAAACGTCGTGGAATTCGATCCAACTGTCTCGATTGAGAGCCTCCGGGGAGAATTTCGTGGGACCCCGTTGTAGCCCGAATCGACCCTAAATCGTGGAAGGTACGGTGCTTCGACCTTCGGAGGCTCGGTGGAAGCCATTTAAATCTCCGTGCACGCAGGTGAACCTCGGCAAGTCGCATGACTCGAACGAAGAAGAATAACGCGGACTCGAGACTGCATTATTCGAATCCAGAAATGAAAATTCCGATGGACTTGGATAAAAAGTTATTTGAAAGTATTTTTTTTATACAGAACCCGTTGTACCCCGTGCAGTATAAAGTAACAAATCTTCCACTCCCATTTCTTCAAACTAAGAATAGCTTTTATATTTTGAGAACGTTAATTTCTATCACGAAGAATCGAATAAACCGTGGCTGCCTACATTTCTTTATTCGCGGAGTAGCGCGGTAAGCCGTTCCCCAAACAAAGGAAACTACCTAAGCTTTATTCAGATCCTCGGGCCATAAAATTCCTGCACACACGCGTCATCCGAATAAATTTCAATCGTGCTTGGGGGAAAAAAATACATTTCCCCGAATGTCTTCTAACTGGGACACCGGTAATTAACGGGTTAACTACCTCTCGGACACGATATAAAAATACACTCAGCTCCCGCGCTCGTCGCCAAAAAGCACACTTCCTCCGCCCACCGCGCGGGCTAAAATATGACGAGACGTATCGCGGCAGCTGCAGGCGGAAAGTCTCTCCTAAAATGGAATCAGACACCCCAACGCAGCGCTCTCTCGCCCCCATCGACGAGCCAAAAAAAGCGACAACGGGGGACAGCTCGAATGGGAAGAAGGTTCCACCGAACGTTAACTCGGACCTCTTCAAACTCACGTTTTCCACCCACCTGCGCGTGGAGATTCCAATCTTTTGGCCAGACTCCCCCGCTCCAAACTCTGTCTCCTTCTAAAGTGTCCCAAGCCAACTATATACGCCTCTTCTTCGCCCATGGATCGTTTCCCTTGGCACCCGAGAAGGGTGGAACGGCTGTTTCATGACCGACCACCGATGCCAACGACCTCCTCGACTTTTCGTTTTTCTTTCTCTTTCTTTCTTTTTCCTTCCACCGCGCTGAACCGAAGTCGTGCACGACCAGAGCCTCAAGGATCCTCTCACAAAGGACGACTGCCTCGGGATCAGGGTGGGGATCCCCTGGTAAACGTCCACCGACCGAGGAGGGACGGGAGCGTTACGCAGGTAGACGGCCGAGCGTCATGGTGTTTTCGGTCGAGGCTGCACCTGGCCCAGGCACGACCTGCCCCACGTGAAAGGAAAGGTCACAAGAAGAGAAATCGAGTACCTTTCGAATCTGGATGGTATCGATGACGAAAGCATATGCGGCACCGGTTACCGTTTAACGAGACCTTGCGCCGCGGCCAAGGATATCGCGTGAAATTTATCACCGGGATTCTCGATCCTTCCACTGCGGGCTGCTTTCGTGGCTGCTTCTTCCTGGCCGGATGCCGGGGGGAAGTCGAAGATTGCCCTTCCGTTGCGGGTTGAGGACCTGCAAGATGACAGGTATCTACGAACAGGTGGCCAGTAAAGAGGCAAACTATTTTCAAGAGCCTATAGGTGAAGATCGTTTCAAGATCTCAGTAACGCGTGTAGTACAGTGGAGACTAGAACGACAGATCAAATTCTGATCTATGATACCTTGGATCTTCCTTAAAAGGCAACTACCACGGAGCAAACAATCGATCGATCGTATTTTGAAATTTAACACGATGACTGGAGAGCCCTGTACCAGGTACCTATATCTGAATTTACATCGTTGATAAAAAGAAAAAGCGCACGCTTCTGGTAGACGGCCAACTTTCCGTCGTAGATCATCCCCTGGTTTTTTTCTTGCCGACTAAGGAACTTTGCCGTGGGTGTTCCAGTTTTGCCAACTTTCAGACTTCGCTTATGGTGCTCCAACTACTCAGATTACGGAACGTAATTAGTCGCTTTACTAGGAACTGATAATTGCTTTTCCGCGCATTGTTCCATCGATACCCGAGAATTCATTAAGCTTCGTGGTGTAATCAATTTTTTATGACGGTACTACAGGTCCGATCGAAATGAATCTTCCTGTGACGAGGTTCTATGAAATTCATTTAGTCCTTCTTTAGAAAAACGAAGAATCGTCGCTATTACTATTATTAAATAGTTTTTATATATAATTTTAGATATTTTAATTATATCGCGCAGAGTGCCAATAAAAATAAAACGAAACCAAAGTGACCCTGAGTAAATGTAAAAATAGATACAAGTAGGGTACACCTGAATAAATATAAAAATAAAATAGAACAAGAATACCAACGACTAAATATAGGAATAAAACGCGTATAACTAGAATGCCATCAACGTGAGAGGCGAGAAAGCGAGGATCCACCACGAAAACGCTGAGCGATCGCGATGCTATCATAATGTTTATAAGCTTTGCCGAGAGAATGACAGCTCTTGATCATTCGAACGAATAGGTGCGAGCAATATTTATAGGGACCCGATTTACAGGAACTCACGTGCAGGTACTCACGTAGCCTTCTCGCGTGCACCGTTGCGTGTGAAAGGCCGAACGAATCAAAGGAGCCCACTCGACCAAAAAGGAAACCAAAGGACGGATGAGTCAGTGATTCTAATCTTCTAAGGTCCCATTGTAATTGTAATTCTGTGCACATAACGCTTTCGTGACGATAAAATGTACACGGCTACTCACAAAACTGTCCAACAATTTGTAAGTTGGAGTGTACCACACGAATTTATTTTCATACGAATCTTATTAATTCGAGCTTGTTTCCTACATGACTTTACATTTCGGAATCGAGTCATTTTTCGCTGAAATACATTATAACGTTCATCAGGTTGGGACTTTAACAGAAGAAATTTCTACACAGTATCATCGCATCAGCAAAAGGTCTAATTATTTATCCAAGTGTACGGGTCGAGTCAATTAAACATTCCAAATACATTTGACGCTCGAGGAGGCCCAACATCTGCATAGAAGAGTACATTCACGCACGTAAGACTCCTTTGTCTCGAAACTCGGAATTAATCCAAGTGAAGCATCCACGCGAAGCTGGGGAAGACGCATCGAACTTGACTTTCTTCTCGGAGCACGAAAAGCGTGTCGTCGGAGTAACAACTCGAAACACGGGTCGTAACAACTGAAAGTTTCTGCTGCGGCAACGGGTGCAGTGAGTCAGTAGGTTAGCTTACGTAATTTCGGCCAGCAATCTCTGCGGGCGAGGAGGCGGCCGGCTTTGCGGAATTAGGTCGATCAATACCGCGGCGTTATATGGGTCAGGTGCACTACCACGTTCTGTGTATGCGAGCTGTATCTCCTTTCCGGGCACCTAGCAACCCCTGGAACACCCATCCCCAGGACGACGTTGTCCTGTTTCGATCTGGCGGCGAGGCTCCCTTCCCCATTTGTTCGTCGCCCTTTAACGCGTTAATTGACTCCAATGAACGTCGATCTCGACGAACTCGCGTTGGGTGGCCCTGCGGTTCCCCTGCGCGAGGGCTGACCGATTATATCAGCGGCCGCGAGCATTGTTTTGCTACAGTTTGCGTAATTGGACGTTGGAAAAGATTGCTCGGTAGCGTTCGCTTGCGTAACGCCATAGAACCTGGCGAAACGGTGTCTTGCGAGGCTCTGTTATGCTACGTCACTCGAACTCGTGGAAATATTTTGGTTATATTGGTCCTGGATAGGTCTGTTTGCACTTCATTTTAGCGCACGGTCGTTAGTCGCGCCCTAACGAAGTTCTCGATGCCTCCTGGCAGATAAGATAGGAGGTCGATACTATGTTAATGGGAAATAAATGCGTCCAGGTGCTCCATTGATCAGCGTGGATCTAATAAACTGCCTGTTAACATCAATGCGCGTTAATCTCCATCATGATATGACTCGTAGAGGGTTGAATTAGAT